CTGGTTTTCTTTTCTTTTTTTTTTTTTGTTTTTTGCAGTTTTGGCCATGGCTGGGCTTGAACCTGCCACCCCTGGTATATGGGGCTGGTGTCCTACTCTTTGAGCCACTGGCGCTGCCCCTAGTATTTTTTTAGTAGATATGGAGTCTCTTGCTCAGACTGATCTCGAACTCCTGAGCTCAAACAACCACCTGCCTCAGCCTCCCATAGTGCTAGGGTTACAGGCCTGTGTTGTCACACTTGTCCAAGTTTATAGCTCTTCAGCGAGGGAGGCCACACATGGAAGGAACCGTGGGACATCTCACTAAACAAAGGATAGAGTTGTTATAGGACTTCAGGGCAGTGTAGAATCTAGGTGAAGCATAATTGAAGCAGTGTTCTGATGGGCTCAAAGCAAAGTAGAGCTGTGTGTAAAGAGGTCAATGTCAAGTCTGACTGTGACCCAGTCCCCTTTCCTTTAAAATTACAAAGCTCAAAGAGATGTGAAACATTGTGTCTTAGAAATCCCTTATTTGAAGCTCTATGGCTGCCTGGAGATCAGAGCTGCTGTTCTGTGCTATAGTGACTTAGATCCTGCAGATAAGAGTGGGATGTTTCCTTTTTACTGGTATAATTTCAAAAGCAAAATTTCCACGAGTCTGGGATTTTACAAAATAAAGGTTTTCAGTGAATAGAAGTCACTAGTCACTCAAAAAAGAGGTCATTATAACACTTCATAGATGTAGTGTTCTTGGGAGACATATTTTCTGTTTACTTGGCAGCTGGCTTTATCTGTGTTTGTTATCTTGGCCTGACAAATGGTAGGGTACATTTTCACTTTCTCAGAGAAAGCTAATTTTTACTCTGTAGTCGCATCTGACTCATGGTGTCCTTTCCCTGCCTCCATCTCACATTGGCTGCCTCTGTCTCAGAGCACCAGGCCCCAGGCTAGGTGTCTTTTTGATACTTGTGTCTCCTCACTGCTCCTCCTAAAACCTGCCCAGTAGTAAGTCCTTTGTGTTTTGCCTCTAATGCTTCCCTAATCATTACCTTGCTTCTACCTCCACTGCTGTGTTCTATCTCCTGCCAGGGTTCACTTACTGCCATCTCTAGGCCTTTATTTGACACACAGTTCATGCTGGTCATGCTATTTCCTTGATTTAGCAGCTTCTTCTAGGATAAAGGCCAAAAAATAACTCCCCCTAAACCCTCTACCACCCCAAAAGCTAAACAAGCCATACCGCAGCTTAAAAGGATTTATGTTAATTGGACATAGCCTTGGCCCAGAGCTGCTGTCTAATCTGACTGCCTAGTCGCCATCTGTCTTCCTGCTAGATGTTGTATGGCACCCTGTGCTTCCCCTTCAAACAGCATAGTTTTATTTCTTTTTTACTTTATAAGTTGGTGGGAGTGCAGAGGCCTTGACTTTGCTTACCTTTGTATTCTCTGCCTAGCCAAATATTTGGTCTTGAGGGACCAGCCTGCTGTCTCTGCATATTCTTTTTTTCTAAAGAAACATACTGTGTCATCTCATGAGGCTAATATGTGCTACAGGAAGCTGGGTCTTTAGAGATAAGGAGGATCACAGTGGGCTGGGGTGGTTGTAGGAGGGTTCCTGTGAACTTTGAGTTTGAGGTAACTTAAGTCAGCCTCAAAAGATGGCCTGCTAAGGCACTTATCATCTAATTTTGGATCTTTTGTTTTTAATTTCAGATTAATATGAGGTTACAAAACAATTAGGTTACAATGTTTAGGTAGAGTCCCTGTTTAATTTTGGCTCTTGAGTTCTTACCATTTGGGCAATATAAAGGGAAACAAAAATTCTCCCTCTTTTTATAAAATTTAGATCTGATGGCCCTCTCTGGGCCTTC